AAAAAAATAATAAAAAAAGCATGATAAATTATATACTTTTGAGCTTGTGTAATAGGTTTCGATTCAAATTTGTACTGTCCTACACAAACAGCACTATAACATCAGGTTTTTGAGGGAGATGAATACATAAGAGCCTTTAATGCAATAGAAATATGTAGAATTGGTAAGGGTGTTAATACTCATTGAGAAAAGAACATCATTTATCATGATCCTCAGCTCTTAATTCTGTACGTGATTAAATTTTTCTTATTTAAATAACAAACCTCCTCACTGTCGATCTTTTATTTTTTCTACTATCAAGATTTAGCATTTTTTCTGTGCTTACTATAAAAGTAATCAAACAAGTTAAGGGTAAAATTATACAACTTGGAAATCAGCTGTTGCTTTCATAAATAGTTTTGTAGCACTATAAACACCAATAAAGATTTTTTCATCCATTAACTGAATTTAATTTAATGCATGATATATACACATGCATATATTAAATGTTGATGTGCACTCTTTTAATGTATCTTTAATTATATGCATCTTCTACATTTCATGAACATAACTTAGCACAGACCAAATTTATTAACAGATATGTTGTTTGATTAAGCACTTACAGATTATTACTTCTTCTTGTAAATAGTGAGAATTGCAGGTTAGTTGCCTAGTCAGCCATAAAATTAAAGAACTGGAACTGTATTGGTATGCTTCATCTGCTTTTCTATTAGGATTTGTTTAAATATGTAAGCCTCAAAATTTCTCACATATTTAATCGGTTATTGCAGAAAATGCATAGAGTTGTGAATCATCTAATCATGCACTGCTCTGCTTTTGTTCAGATTAGAGATATTGTTTTATTTAATCAATACTGCTTACATCGAACATCTCCTGCTAAACTGCCTGTACTGTATATGCTATCATCTCTGATTCATTTAGCTACTTAGAGTATTTGATTATAGCTTGATAGTTAATTTAAATTTATATATACAAATAAATCCATATTAATATAGCTTAAATTAGGAATGTTAATTATGTTGTTCTTATTGCAAATATCTAGGCCATGTTATTATCAAAATTGTGTTAAAGGGTTTTTGAACATTGTATTGATAAAAGTTAATTTTAATGCTCATCCTTTTTAAGCTGTTGGTGTTGTCTAAGTACATATATAACTAATGAAAGTTTTGTTCTTATGCTGACCTAATACTACAAGTAAGGTTAACAATAATATTACTTCACACTTAACTGTTTTCCTATTTCTGTCTTGTTCGCGCATATAAATGAATGTCCTTGATCTTTGAGGGCAAATCTAAGTCTTCATATATGTCTATCTGGGATATGTCATGGTTTAAGCTTTCTTCTAAATTCTGCTCAATATATAGATTAGTTTTGTCATAATATGAATTAATTGCGTGTTTCGTTTGGAGATAATTCCCATTTAACACTCTATCGAATGATTGGTATGTCCACTTTCTTGAAAATTGATCTTACCTCTTCTATAATTTTGAGATATACATAACGTATATAAGACTCAGAATACTTATTTATATNAAAAAAATAATAAAAAAAGCATGATAAATTATATACTTTTGAGCTTGTGTAATAGGTTTCGATTCAAATTTGTACTGTCCTACACAAACAGCACTATAACATCAGGTTTTTGAGGGAGATGAATACATAAGAGCCTTTAATGCAATAGAAATATGTAGAATTGGTAAGGGTGTTAATACTCATTGAGAAAAGAACATCATTTATCATGATCCTCAGCTCTTAATTCTGTACGTGATTAAATTTTTCTTATTTAAATAACAAACCTCCTCACTGTCGATCTTTTATTTTTTCTACTATCAAGATTTAGCATTTTTTCTGTGCTTACTATAAAAGTAATCAAACAAGTTAAGGGTAAAATTATACAACTTGGAAATCAGCTGTTGCTTTCATAAATAGTTTTGTAGCACTATAAACACCAATAAAGATTTTTTCATCCATTAACTGAATTTAATTTAATGCATGATATATACACATGCATATATTAAATGTTGATGTGCACTCTTTTAATGTATCTTTAATTATATGCATCTTCTACATTTCATGAACATAACTTAGCACAGACCAAATTTATTAACAGATATGTTGTTTGATTAAGCACTTACAGATTATTACTTCTTCTTGTAAATAGTGAGAATTGCAGGTTAGTTGCCTAGTCAGCCATAAAATTAAAGAACTGGAACTGTATTGGTATGCTTCATCTGCTTTTCTATTAGGATTTGTTTAAATATGTAAGCCTCAAAATTTCTCACATATTTCATCGGTTATTGCAGAAAATGCATAGAGTTGTGAATCATCTAATCATGCACTGCTCTGCTTTTGTTCAGATTAGAGATATTGTTTTATTTAATCAATACTGCTTACATCGAACATCTCCTGCTAAACTGCCTGTACTGTGTATGCTATCATCTCTGATTCATTTAGCTACTTAGAGTAATGATTTGATTATAGCTTGATAGTTAATTTAAATTTATATATACAAATAAATCCATATTAATATAGCTTAAATTAGGAATGTTAATTATGTTTTTCTTATTGCAAATGTCTAGGCCATGTTATTATCAAAATTGTGTTAAAGGGTTTTTGAACATTGTATTGATAAAAGTTAACAGGTATAACTAATGAAAGTGTTGTTCTTATGCTGACCTAATACTACAAGTAAGGTTAACAATAATATTACTTCACACTTAACTGTTTTCCTATTTCTGTCTTGTTCGCGCATATAAATGAATGTCCTTGATCTTTGAGGGCAAATCTAAGTCTTCATATATGTCTATCTGGGATATGTCATGGTTTAAGCTTTCTTCTAAATTCTGCTCAATATATAGATTAGTTTTGTCATAATATGAATTAATTGCGTGTTTCGTTTGGAGATAATTCCCATTTAACACTCTATCGAATGATTGGTATGTCCACTTTCTTGAAAATTGATCTTACCTCTTCTATAATTTTGAGATATACATAACGTATATAAGACTCAGAATACTTATTTATATTGTGTGGCTCTAATTACGTCATACGAATCAGTTTCTCTTTTCCTAATAGCTTCATAGAAATGTAACAATGCAGTTATGCATGTCAAATAACTTTGCGAAAATGACATACCTCAATTTTTTAATATATTTAATGACCATGCTCAACAATCATAAACTCTTAATGGTTACTATGTGGCTATCTGTTTAAGACTATAACCTAGTAATATATTTTTTAGGTTTGCATATAATTTTCAACTCTTGGTCATATAAGTGTGTTAGAGAAGCAATACAATCAATAATTCTTCATCACACTTATTCTATCGGACTTGTTAAAACGAATTCATGTTATCGCGTGCTCAAGATATAGACTTAAATTTTTCGCCATCTTCTACTGAGATGTGGCACTACATCTGGAATTTTTTTCATTTTATTTCCCTGAATTGTATCCAAATGTAGTAATATTATGTTCTAACTATTATTCAAAATATTATACCTTCATTGCTACTTTTACTTTACATCAAAGATACGTTTAATCACTAGTGCAATAACGCATACTTTCTTTTGAAATGTATACGCTCAAATGACTAATTTGGAAGGTTCTGGAAATGCAAATGTATTTTAAAACATTCCACACTCAAATAGAAACACTGAGAGGTTCTTTGTTTACTTTGGATATTCATGATCTTAGATGAAGGTAATTGCTTCAATTTAATGGAAGAAATATGCAGAAATAATAGATTATGAAAAAATTAATCACTCTCAAGTCCCTCAGTACTTTATTTTTGTAGGAAAAAACAACATTTACTCAGGATTTAAGGGTAAAATTGCATTGGTCTATTTCAATTAAAATGTAAATGATTGGGGATTATTAGATGAGTGTCATCGATCTGGTTTATCAATTTCAATAATTTTCGATGAATAATCCTTAATTCCTGGATGCTCATATTTTATAAATGCCAAATGTATTAATTGTTTAGAGGGATGGGATTTTTTGGTACTAAGTAATCAGTGTATACCAATTTGTGGAGATAATGTAATATATGGAACAGAAGAATATGATGACTGAAACTTAATTCCTTTTGATGGTTATTTCAATCGCAAATTCTAGTGTGCCAACAATTGTAAATTATGCGAATTTGGATAATGCATTTAATGTTAATTTGGTTATAAGATTTAATCCTAGTTTTGTTATCCTGTTTGTGGAGATGAATTAACTCTTTATAGTGAAGAATATGATGATGGCAATATTGAAAAATTTGATGGTTTTTTATAAGAGCATAATATTTGCTAAATAGAATGTAAATTTTGTTTTAATTAATTATGCTTTTGATGTTAAGATGGATGGTAATTAATTAGTAATAAATGTGAATAAGTTTATAATGACAATCTTTTGGCAATATTATCAATAGAATAATGTGATATTGATGATGATATTTATTGTAATGATTGTTTGTAATTATGGCAAGAAAATTGCATATATTGCCTTACATATAATCAATGTGAATTTTGCAGACATCCATTTGAATTGGTCAATGAAATATATAAATTATACAAGGTATGATATTTATATAATAACGCTGGTGGAATGTTCAAATAAATTTAATCAATCTAAAAATTATATATCTATTTTACTTTAGAGATCCTGTAGACATCTTGTTCTTAGAGTTGAATTAGAGAAATCCACTATTATTAATGAACTAAATTAATATTTTTTGGATAATAGGTAAGTAATCAACCTAGTAAATCTTTTTTTTTTTTGTGATATCCAAAGCTATTATTAAGATGCTACCACGATCTTCTAAGATCTTTAATTTAAACTTAAAATAATAATATGATTTAGAAATAGAGAAGGAAACTAGATATTGATGGATGGTAATTATCTTTAGTTACAAATCCATAATTTCAAACCATAATTTTGGTACCCATGCTAATAGAATACACAATGTATATCCATATTGCAATTGGGGCTTTTTTCATATAAACAGAGCGTCCAGTAGGATTTGTAAGGATTTCGTAATGGTCTGAATGTCTTTACAATTTAAAGAGGAGATAATTGAATAATCCGTGTGGAGCATTCCAACTGTGTCGAATGTCTACTTTCTCATATTTTCCCGGGTTATATTTCTTTTCGGTTTAAACCATAATGCTCCACATAATTGTGGTCTCTTAGTACACTACACTGTTGATTACAGCTCCTAATAAGTAGACACATCGAAGAATCCAAAATAATTATAAATAATTCATGAAATATATAAAATAAGAATTGTATACCTACGCCATCAACTTATGGAAATATTTCTAGTACTCTGAAGAGGTTAAGAAGGGATGCCATATTGTTTATGAATGTATTTTGGATGAAATAATATATATAAATAATTGAAGAATGATCAAAAGTTGATGCTAAAAATAAAGTTAAGATATGAGGATAATTAAAAATAAAATTGTAACATACAAATGAAAAATGCAGGGTATTGTCAAACTGTAATACTTTAGGTAATAAATCTGGTAACCAATTGAAATATCCAAATTTTGATTACTTTTAAGCTTCATTAGTTACAATACTAACTACTATTTTAGTTTAAATAATTATTTAATTTTGAATCAAAATTCTCATATAAATTGATGAAGTAGGGATTTGCATATTTTAACCTATCTATTTAAAATTCTAATCATTTGATTGTATTCAATTGATTACTGTTGATGACAATGATGCTGCTAACCAGTATGTTTGTGAAATCAGAAACAATTAATGATAATTGCTGGCTAATTCAAAAATCATATCAATAAGCAGATGAAAGATCTAGTGAAATTATGTTATGAAACCACATTCATTAGTTTCTCTCATTCTTAGTAGCATTCCTACTTTGGATGATCAAAAGATATTATTATTGTTATTTAATTCTATCTAGCTGAAAACAACAATTCGTTATTATCAAATGAGTGCAATTAATGATAATTAATTATTAATATTGTTCTTAGCCAAGTTTTTTAGTTAAAATAAACTATTCACAGGCTGTTGATATCAAAATGCTTAGAATTTTATAGTATTATTAAAACATGCAATCAAATCTTCTTCTCTTTTTTCACTATCAAACGTTGATTTAGTGCCTTTATATTAGCAAAAGAACTAAGATATCTCAAGAAATGAAATAATATCAAAATCATTAAAATTCTTTTTCGCATGAAATAAATAAGAATTCGATTATTGGAAGAATTTTTTGTCATCACTCTTCTGTTGATAATTCTATTTCATAATTTATTAAATATCATTAAATATCTTGCTGAGTTTTGATTACCTGCACAAAAAAACCAAAGTTTAATGACTTATAATAACAAGAATTAGAAAGATGGTATATATAATTGAAATAGAAATCAAAATGAAGAGACTTAGATAGAATTTGAAGAACAAAAAGGATATTAACATGGTGTTCACTTTTGGAACAATATTTGGTACAGTATTCAATTTAAAAATTGACTTCCTTACCTAGCTACACATTTTTTTATAACGAATTTCATTTACATATATGAATATACAATTGTAATTTAATGCTAAATACTTTAAATGTAATTTAATTAGAAAAGTATATTGATGCTTAAAATAAGGAAATGCACACAAATTTTTCATCTTCTATTTATTAAAGTTTTTCTAAAATCTAAGAATAATTAAGCTATAATTGAAGAAGAGAAATCTATTATCAACAAATTGTAGTTGGGGATGGTACACCTTGGTTTTGGAATGGAAAATTGTGCCTTAACTCATAATTCTCCTTATTTCGAAAAAGAGACTCCAAAATTTTACATGACACATCTATAATGCTACTTATAATAACAATAGTAGACATTCTAAACGAATTATGAAGAAGAATTTACTGAATGTTAAGAGTAACTTTGATCGAATATTTGTAATTGAAAAAAAATTTTCATCCATTTTTCAATGTGCATATATTAACTTTTTTATTCTCTACTTGCTCGAAAATAGCAATATTTCTTTTTCGATTAAAATGCTAATATCAGCCACATATCCTTATTTTTTAACTCAGTGGGCGTTTTTAAAATAACTATTAAATCAACCATAGGACTTTTATCATAATGCTCTTCTTATTCCATTAAGTACTTAACGCTTATGCGATTGCACTTCTTCTATTTCAACTTATCTCGTCGTCTGCATAAAAATGATGAATTATGTAAACCTGTATGTAACATGGTAGATGGCATCGGTTGAAGAGCTCGACTTATACCTTCTTTGAAAATGGATACCTTATCAAAAGAGTATAAATCTGTAACATTGACTCCACGCTGTGAAAGCAACTATAATTATGTGTGGAGCATAATATTGAATTAAAAAAAATCAGATGTAAATTAATTCACTTATATACGATATTATTCATTTTAAACCTATTAATTCAATAATTAGACGCCTGAATTCATTTTAATTTGATTTGCAAGATTTAATTGCCTGTTTGTAATTTTCTATGGCTTATTAGTAATTCTTGATATCTGTTAATAAATAACCTAAGACAATGAATAAATTGCAACCTTTATTACGATAAGCATTTGCATAATTAGGATTTAGTTGGATTGCTTAATCATAGCAATCAATTGCATTGTTGTATTTATTAATATTCTGTAAAGCAGTACCTTATATAATCAAGAAATTGCTTACCTTTATTATTATAAGCTATTGCATCATTTGGATTTAATTGGATTGCTTTATCATAGCAACTAATTGTATTGTTGTACTATTTAAGATTATCTATCTCCATATTAATGAACTCTATTTTATTGTAAAGCAGTACCTACAACAATCAAAAATTCTAAACCTTTATTATGATAAGCATTTGCATAATTTGGATTTAGTTAGATTACTTTATCGTAACAATCAATTGCATCATTGTATTTGTTAATACTCTGGTTGTTTGTTTTATATATCTTTTTATTGCGAAATACACCAATAACCTTTGAATTAAGATGGCACTATAGATATATCAAAGTAAAAAATTTATAAAATTTATTTGGAACCAATCGATTTGTCTATTTATTAAATAACTCTCACTCTACTTAGCGATTCGATTGTACTTGTTGCAGATGATAAAGGCCACCTTATTGTTTCTAGAATTAGAGATAATTGTAAAGCAGCAAAATTATATTTGTGTAATCAATATTTACGTCCATAATACACATTTAATAAGGCGTTTGTTGTTATTGCTGATTCCAATTCAAAAAAAGTTGCTCTGATTGATATTTCAAGGGGCAAATTAATTAGATCGAAATATAACGCTAATTAGTATTTACATGTTTATGGTTATCATTAGAAGGATTCATATTATCTCTCTTTTGAGTCTTTAAAAATTGCAAACAAATCAATTATAATTAGGTTTCTGTAGGGAATAACAGCTAGAGTGAATACGAAAAAAGTGGTTGAATTTTGACGTTATCAGAGGAACTGAAATTGAAATGCAAAGGGATGATTCTTTAGATAAAACCTCGGATCTATTTACAAGAAATATTAGTATGAGATAATATGATAATAAAATAAGTTATAAATTAAAACATTGAATTTCATAGTTTAAAGAAATATTTGCCAATATTAAAATTTTAAATTCTTTATGAATAGTCTTTACCAAAATAGTGTCTCTATTTTCAATAAAATTATTCCTAATGATTCAACTTCAAGAAAAATAAATAATTGAGTTTATAAACTTGAAACCTGCATAATAGAAAACAGTTTTTAATAGATTTACCTAGCATATCCAGATTTAGGAAGTATTACAAAATTAATATACAGAGAATATGTATTTGATCTTTTCTCATTTAACTTTACATTTATTTTTGGCTTGAAGATCCTCAAAACATTGTTTATTTTTGTATTTTGAAGTTACCCTTTTTTTATTTACTTCTGAATCACCTTGTTAGTTAAATTTCTAATACTTGATTAATTGCTTCGTCTTAAAGTTGAAGATAGATTTATTCTTAAGGTAATATTTATTACCTTATCGATCAAAAAATTTATTTTAATCAATACAACAAATTAGAAGGCAGAGGAGAATAATAAAACTTTAAGTATAAATACAAATGGTAATTTTCAGAGTGGAGAATTAGTCTTAAAAACCTCTTGTTTCTCTTTTGCCTCATTTGTTATAATCAACCAATTAATAAATGTAATTTAAACTTATAATAGGAGTTTAAAGGAAATTTACACCAATTCGTTAATTCATGTTCAGGATTTAATTAGTGGGATTAACAGGTTTTCCTCATATATTTACATTACTATTATGTTTTTTTTACTTCACAATTAATAATCTCAAAAATATGAATTATTAATTCCTGAAAATTTGGCTTAATTCGATCAAAAATTTTTCTATCATTATGAGAAAGCAGAGAAACGACCTGGAAAATTTGTTGCTTTTATAAGTTTGAATTTGGATTCTGTTAAAATTAAGAGTTTAAAATTAGATTCATATTAATTTAATTTTAAAGGTTTATTAAACTTAAGATTGAATCTACTGTCGCCGAAAACCTAATTTACTTCCTTTAAAAATATCCTAAAAAGATAAATATTTCTTTGAAATAATTATAAAATATTGAAAATTTAATATTAATTTCATTTTTTTCCTTCTTTGTCTTAATTGTTAAGCTCAATAAATTTTTATAATAATAGGCTTTTTGCACTTACTCAAAAATGTCAACTATTAAAAAACAAAATACCCTCCATTTTTGTTTACCCTTAATTTAAGAGGTTGTAATGGAAAGCAATTTTAAAAGTAGTTGAACTAGAAATATTAAGCTTCCTAACGCAGCAATACTATTAATTAATTCAAAAGGAGTTCCGAAATTGTAATACGGAAACTATAATAGAGTGCTGAACAACTAATAATGAAGCGTGGAATTAAATAGTTAAAACACTCCAAAAGAGAAATAATATATCTTTAATTATTGACATATCTAAAGAATATTTCTCTAAAACAAAGATATAAATTTAAGAATTCTGAAATTTCCAGGATTCTTTATAACAACTTGTCCTAAACATGATGACATTTTATTTGAGGATATTAGACAACAAAGAATATAAGTAAAAATGGAAACAATGTAGGATAAGTAACATCCTTTAGCATTTATTATATAGAACTAATTTAAAACATCAGCTTATGATTATTATGACGACTTTGTTTGTAAATTTGGCAGAGTGCCTCCATTGAGTTTGGCAATAAACTCATCAACTTTTAATCGATCCAAAATGGGTTATAAGGAAATCTTTGTGTAAGTTTCAAGAAACTATCTTAAATGAGGAGGAAATTTATATTGCATATACCTTATGTAAGATAAAGTCTATAACAAGTCTAGTTAGTTGAAGAA